TTTATTTTTACTTCTCATTTTGTATGTTACGCACTGATCTTATGAATAAAAATCACGGGACCGCCAAATTTTTGCGCCATCACTATTTCACTCGAATGATAACTGCAAGCAAAATTATTTTTAGAACATCAATCATCGGAATTGATTCGCCGTCATTACTGTCGTAACGAATCGTATTTTGCGTTAAAACTAGGGCACGTTATGTACTGTACATTGTTCTTTAACAGTTAATTTATGTTGGAGTTACGAATGTACATGTGATCAATGCTGTACATAAAAAGTTATATAAATTTGATTAAATTTGATTCTCAATTGATCAAAAAAAAAGTACAGTATTATAAGTTATACGATACATTATAAGTTCTTTAAAAATGGATTCAAGTAACCCTACACCTATTACACCTACTACACCTACTACATCATTCGTAAAGCAGTCTCCCTCTTTTTCATACGGAGCTTCACCACCTTTAGATCCTACCATATCACATATCATTTCGGGAATCATCAGTGACTTGAAGTTTCTTAACCAGCAACAGCATCTTTCAGACCTTGTTCTTGAAGAAATACTTGAAAAACTACCAAAACTTGTTATATATACTCACTCACAAACTATACTTCCACCACGCATTTCCCCTGTACCTCAAATGGGATCACCGGCTCCTTCTGTACACTCTGAACAATCAAAAGTAAATTCAAAGCCTATACCCTCTGAAGAAGAAAACAATTCTATACAAATGTCACAAGGACATAGTGAAATACAATATCCACTCGACCAGAATATTATAGACGCTCAACCACCTTCGCCTATACGCGATGAACAAGAGTATAAACCGGAAATTCCTTACAAAGATAATTTCTTCCAACCTACCGCGATTCCCGAAACCTCTTCTAGAAGTTCAACTCCAAGACATTCCATGTCACGAGGGCCTCTACCACATCCTCCAAATTCGATAAATAATACTCCTCTACAACACCCTACGCCACCTAATTTTATTAGTAAACAACAAGAAGCTGAATATTTTAGGACTCCAAAAATACATGATATGTTACCTGCATATAGTCCTCAAGTTGTTGAAGCTCTATGGGATTTCGCTGGAGCTGATGCTGGTGATTTGAGCTTCAAAAAGGGTGATCTCATAGAAGTGACTGAACATGTTAATGATGATTGGTGGCGTGGTCATATTAAAGGTAAAACTGTGATTGGTATATTCCCTAGAGTATACACTAAGAGCATATCAACCCCGTCTGAAAGATTGGCGAAAAATCCCAATGGACATCAACGTAGAACTTCAACGACTTCAACGACTTCAATTTCTTCTCGTCCTTTTCAGCAAAATACTCTACCACCTAGTCGTGCTCAACAATTATCACATGTTCCTGTACTATTACAGCCTCAGCAGCCTCCAAATCGCCAGCCTACTTCTCAATCAAATTTTGCTTCCCCGCAACCTTATATTACTCAATCACCACCTACGTCTCAATCAAATTATGCTTCACCGCAACCTTATATTACTCAAGCCCCACCTACGTCTCAATCAAATTATGCTTCACTGCAATCTTATATTACTCAAGCCCCGCCTACGTCTCAATCAAATTATGCTTCACCGCAACCTTATATTACTCAAGCCCCACCTACGTCTCAACCAAATTCTACTTATTATCCTTTACAAACTCAACAATATTATAATCAACCAACCCATTCTGGTGGATCTAAAAAATATTAATCCATTTTTGAAAAGTTGACTCGATACATTGTATATAAAAATCGATTATTGATTATTTTATCTATTATACATTTACTTAGGATAATATGAGGCGACTAGTTTATTTTGTAAAATTATTAACA